TTCTCTTTTGGGAGCAGCATTTTGACACTGAAACACAGGATCTGTTTGGGATTGAGTGGGCTCCTAATGGCTGTGTGCTGGCAGCGTGGGACTCGTGCCTGGAGGTAGGAGAAAAGCAGATCACTTTCTTGAGAGTTCAAGCTGGTCTTTAGGCATCGTGTGTAAAGCAGTAACTAAAATAACTGGTGTTTTAAAATGTTTCTTTTAAACGTAAAATGGTTTGAGTTCAGCTTTTGTTTAATATTATACGTGTGTTTGGGATGGATGTCCTTGCAAGTGGATGTCGCTGTTCTGTAAATCTTCAGTGACAGCAAATTCTTTCTAATTTATCTTGCGAAAAAAAAAATTTATTTGTAAACATTGCAGAAGGTGCTAATGAAATAATAATGGAAGAATTCTCTGTAAGAGCCTTCTACAGCTTTACTGATCTTGCACTGCACAGTTATTTTACAGTTATAAAACTACTCATCCAAACAGTGAGCAGTGTAGCCTGGAACCTCTTAACTCGTAGATAAGAGACCGTGGCCTCGGTGTTTAACTTGCTGCATTTTAAACAGGGAGGGTTTGGGAGGAATGCTTTGCCTGCCTTGGTCTCTAACACTCCTGCTGGTGTTGAGAATGCCTGTGTCTGTGTTTCAGTACAAGCTTTTGCTGTACTCCCTCGATGGCAGGCTGCTCTCCTCGTACCGTGCCTACGAGTGGCCACTGGGCATCAAGTCTGTTGCCTGGAGCCCCAGCAGCCAGTTCCTGGCAATTGGCAGCTTTGATGAGAAGGTGAGAAATAGGTTTGTTTTCCCTCTCTTTTATCTAAACCACGTGTAGGGCCTTGTCCTGACAGTCTGCTCTTGCAATGCTTCCTGAACCAGGTGCGTATCCTGAACCACGTGACGTGGAAGAAGATCACAGAGTTTGAGCACCCAGCAACCATTGCCAGCAAAAAGACTGTGAGTATGGATCCAAAAATCCATGGAGGTTGTTAGCAGAGCTTTGGTGCTGCTGTTTGTATCTGGAAGATGCTGATAAATCCATTTCATTTTGGAGACCTTGATTTTTTTCCCCTCCTAATGCCTAATTAGGGCTTAGGAATCTGCACGACAACTTGGGAATGTAAGAAAAATGGGGAAGTCCTTTCAAATTTGATGGTATGTGTGTCTGTGATCATCTCCTTAGCACTAAGAGGTTCTCAGATGCTCCCATCATATACCAGTGTATTTGGTGTAGGTGGTGGCTGCATTACAGATTTGGGTGTGCAGCCCATGGGAAGGAGAAGGGATTTGTCTCAGCTTTATGCAGTTCCTGACTTTAAACACCACTGGAACTGGATTGTGATCAGTCACATCCTGTGTGGACAGGCTCATCCAGCTCACCTAAAGAGCATTTCCTGGAACATCTCTCAGCATTGATTTTATCCTTTATACCTGTATCTGCAAGGCCCGACAGATTCTGGGTCGTTGGCAGCAGGCACAGAGCTTTAGTCTTATTCCAAAAATCCCAGGCTGATCTCATCCACAGAGGTAACAAGAACAGTGTGTAGAGTTGTTTGCCACTGCAGGAGGACTGCACAGGTCTCCCTGAAGAGTTTGTGTGTGGACTGTAACCCTGCAGTAGTCACACAACTCTGTTGATGTCCCTTAACCAGAAGCAAGGCATGAACCACCTCAGTAAAGCTTCTCACGGCTGAGAAATGCCTTTACTTCCAGTTAGGTGTAAAATATGTCATGGAAAGCAGATGGAAATAGCTCTGTTAATCTCCACTACACAGACAGGAATTGCAGTTGGTTCTTTTTAGCCTGGTGCTTGTGTTTGGGAATATGTTGTAGGCATGCTGAAATATTTTTGCTATTTCCTTCTGCAGTGCTGCACTTGGGGTTTGCATTTATTTATGATAGAATCAGATTAAAGGTTCTTGGTTGCAAAAATGAAATCCATGTTCCCACTGTAATGAGGATGATTTATTTTCCTGTCAGGAATAATGCATGAGGTGCACTGTGGCAGATTCATTCCTTGTAGGCTTCAAGGTTCGTGTATCTGTCACAGGAGTGTTTTTACTGACTGTGGTTCCAAACAGCCCAGGATTCCCTGGGAATGCTGAATTCCATGTCTATCTACCAAAGCCCTTTCCTCTGATGAACCAGGGGATGCTGAGACGTAATAAATGTGCAGAGAGTCAGTGGGGTGTGGGTATTTGGTAACAGCCCATGATCAAACTCTCTGAGGCCCTTCTGTGGAACTCTCACTTGTTTCTTTGTAGATTGTGTACAAAGAAGTGGAGAAATCCCCATCTGTTGAAACAGAGAAACTTTTTTTCCCTCCAACAAGAGCATTGGCTAGTTCCCTCTTCAGCACACAGAGTAAATGTAAGCCAAAGTTTACTTAAGCAAGACACTTGAGTTTGCCATGGGAAGTCTTTCTATAAATAAACGATATAGGTGAACTTTGCCCCTTGGATGGTGGAACAGATCCTCTGGGTGTTCTCAAGAGCGGTAAAAAACAATCTCATTGTTTGTGGCACTGTTAATCACCTTTGTTTTGCATCAATGTTTGAAATGTTAGTTACAAGGTAGTGGAAACTTTGATCCCTCCTTATTTTCCTAACTTAATCTCAGACCTGCGTGGATTTCCAGCCTTGCCTTTTTTGTAGGAGGGCAGGAAATAATAAGCTAGTTACATGAAGGTGCAGTATCTTAAAACAATTGAAGTTTTGATTGGAACATCTTGGAGAAGAGTGAAATGTGCTTGCTTGCTTCAAAGATGATGAGTTTTAACAGCTGGGATTTAAATGCATTGTCCATTCAGGCTCACTTAGTGAAGGGCTTTTATTTCCCATTCCAGATGAGATTTCCCAGGTGCCAGTTTCCTTACAGTACATCAAACCAGTTGCTGACAGGGCAAATCCCAAAATGGGAGTTGGGATGTTGGCGTTCAGCGCAGATAATTGTTTCCTGGCAACCAAAAATGGTAAGTTCCGACTGCCCTGCCTTAAAGGGAAAACCTTCTCATGGAACGGGGGTGTTTCCTTATTGCACTTGTTACTCTGTAAAATCAGCTCTGCTGAGACATGTAACTACAGAGGAAACCCAGCCTCTGCCTTCCAGTGTATGTCATGTGCTGTGAGCTGCCAGAACGGCTGATCAGAGCATGAACTCAGCCTTGGCTCTGTATTTGATGAAAGTAGTAGGTTTTTATATTTCTTCAAGTGTGTGTGAGGTCACTGCACTGAAAATGGAACATGCAAATCTTACCCTCCATTTACAGCCTGGGTCTTGTGAAAGGCAGAACTCTGCACAGCCTGTAGCAGGAGGGATTCTGACTGCCTCAAACAGTGAAGGTCATGGAATTAATGTTCCATCTTTCCCTTCAGTGGTCCTGAGGAGCTGTTCATGCCTGGATGCCAAAGCTGTGGGTCAGGTGCAAAACCCACCAAACAGACTAATGTGATAAAAGCCAGGGAAGAACTGGGAGATGCACTAAGTCACTTCTTTTACCGTTTTTGCAATATTCCCAAGGCAATACTGAAGGCTTAGCTGGGTAAAACCCCTGTCGTGGTACCCCTGGGAGGCTGTGTTAAATTGTGTCACTTAATGCCCATTTAAAAAAAACAAACAATTTATCCTTCGGGTCTTACACGATCTCCTTTTACACTTCCTTGCAGATAGCATTCCTAACGCTGTGTGGATCTGGGACATCCGGAAGCTGAAGCTGCTGGTGGTCCTGGAGCAGCTGTGCCCGATCCAGTGTTTGCAGTGGGACCCGCGGCAGCCACGCCTGGCGCTGTGCACCGGCACCAGCAGAGTGTACCTGTGGTCCCCCGCCGGCTGCGTGGCCGTGCAGGTGCCTGGGGAAGGTGAGGCCCTGCAGGAGCTGCCACCAGCTGGTCAGGGACAGAACATCTTTCCACTCGTTAATCAGCCCGAGGATTATCATGGAAACGGCTCGGGTGTGTTCTTGGAGCTTCTTAAAAAACATGGAGCTTTAATCCTCAAAAAAAGGAGGAGCTCATGATGAGACAGTGAATGGCAAATGTATCAAGGACAGGGCACGGGGCTGGCAGGGATTCGTGTGACTGATTCCAGCTGCCTTTTCCTCCAGCAAGAGGGATGGGCTGCCAGCTCCGTGCTGACACACTCTGATCTCTTCCTGCAGGCGACTTCCAGATTGTGTCTCTCTCCTGGCATTCCAGCGGGGACTCCATGGTGCTCCTGAGCAAGGACAACTTCTGTGTGTGTTACTTAGAAAGAGAAGAGGTAAAATAAAAAAAATTAAAATGCACTAAAAATGCTCCTAAGTCTGAGGAAGGAGGAGGAGAAGGGTAAAATGGGCAACACTGTTTTTTACCCATCTGAAGTGTTTGTATTTATAAATTATTTATTTGAAGGAGCTCCAAGCTCAGTGTGTGAAGTACTGTGATTGCAGTTGAGTGATGTAGCAACTGAAATGTAGGGAGTGAGTCTGGATTGCAAGAAAAACCTGAGTATTGATGGAGTTGAACATTCTCTGTGTCAACTCTGAATCTTTATTTTCCACGCCTGTAGCTCTGTGTATATAATGTATAGCTATTATTTAAATTTTCTAATTTCCAATAAATATTTTGATAGTTACAAACTATAAACCTGCACCTCTGCACTCTAAAGTCTGTTTCAATTTGATGTGATTATGCAGTGACTTATCCCAGCATGAGGAAACTGTTATTTTCACACAACATGGGAGACAGTAACTGTGCCTGGGCCACTGTGGATTTATTACATGGAATCTTTACAAGAAGGATCACAACTGACACTTCAGGATGTTGAATTACAGGCAACTGAAATGGCAGTTTTTGTCCCAGCTCTCTGGTGCCAACTGGGAGTGGGTGGTTTGGCAGGGAAGGAGCAGTTGGACTATCCTTCCACTGTGTCCTCCCAAGGAGGGAGCCCCTTGTTTAGGAATTTATTGGATGTTTTTTCTTGTGCTACCCACTTTCACAGCCTCAGTCTCCAGAAAATGAAGAACAAAGACCAAACTGAGTTGAACTTTAACTTTATTGGAGGTTAATGAAAATTGGATAACTTAAAAATGCACAGAGAGGGACGATGCAGCTTGTTGGAGTGTTTGATGGAATGCAGCTTTACATGAGTTTCACAAACACACACCTAGGTTAAGGCAAAAAAACACCACTGCAGCACAGTGTTTATCCAGCAGATAAAGGCTCTGATAAAAGGGCATGGAGAGAAGGTCATGCACAAAGAAGAAGCTTGTTAGAATCAGCTCTTCAGCAATGCCAGCTCAGTGTCTCTTGTGCTGCTTCTCAATTTAATCCCTGGACATGAGGCTCAGGGCAGGAATGTATAAAGCAAGGCTGACACACAGTGCTGAAAGATTTTTCTCTGTCTCCATTAAAAAGTCCTGGCCCAAACTAGAGTAGATTTCAGAAAAACAGCTAAGAATATCAGTCTAACCAAAATAGAATTCCTTTTCAGTTTTACAAAGAACAGCTTTGAAGGCAAATGTGTTGGTGAGGCTCTTGGCAATGTTCTCTCACAACAGTCTTTACTCTGTGGCTGCAGCAAGGAAACAGAGGAAGTTCCAGTGGGTTCTTAGAGGGATTTTTACAAAAAGCATATTCAGAGTTCACCAGCTGCTGCTGAGCAGGTGGAACAGTGCAGCTTTAGCAAAAGCCAGCAAATATTGTTAAAGACTGACTGACAGCTTTCAGGATTCCTAACGGGCATTAATGAGAGCGCTGAGATCATGGAGACTGGAACAGTAATTCCTCTTTATCAGTCCCAAGCACAGGGTGGGACTGGACACCATACACAGGGATACTGCAGTAATGTGGCACAAAGGTTCTGTTGTACAGCAGGTACGTGGGCAGGGTTTCAGCAGGTTCCAAGGGCACTTCATGAACAGGAGGAACAGGCCTGGGAGGACACGGAACACGCTGCTGCTCACCCCACAAGGACTGTGGGGGCTGAATATCAGGTACAAAATACCAGACTGACACCACTGTGTGCCTGCTTCTCAAATCCAACCTGTGCACTCCCAAACCAACCTGGAACTGTCCTACAACCACCCTCTTTCCTTCCCCAAACTTCCCTTTGCCCCCGTGTGCTCTGCCCTCAGCGTGCTCTCCCCAGGGGACCAACAGCAAGTCACTTGCCATTCAACGGGGGGTTAAAATCCAATTTTTCCTCTTGTCATGGAGTAACCCAGTTTGGCCTCGTTGTTGATGAAGGACATCAGTCCCAGGTAGGTCTCGATGAGGATGGGCCGCTCCAGCACCAGGACACCGGTAGCACTTCCTGGCAAAGGGCCCTCCTTGTGGGCTTTCTTCACAGCCTGGATCAGCTGGGTTTGGAAGTTTTCCAGCTGAAAGGAAAAAAAAAATCACCTTGTTTTCCCGTTGTTTTACAAACTGTTAGGGAAACAGCTGCTGATGTGGAATGGAGAAGGATTAACACTAAAGCCATAGATGTCAGGGATCTCACGTACTGTGATGAATGTCACATTCTGGTATTTAACCTCAGGGATTCACACAGGACACTACTGACACATGACTTAAACATGGGCTGGATGGGTAAAGATGTATCAGTGACCAAGTGTTTATTTCTGCCCTGATCACTGATGTGTTGCACTTAAAGCATTCTAGTTTTAAGGAAAACTCCGGAGGGAATCACCTATTTCAAGAAGAACCAAGAACCCCCCTCAGTGGAGGTTTTCAGTAAGCAATTAAACCAGCTGTTAGTTAGCTGGCAGTCTTAGAGGAAAAATCCACCAGCCTGTCAGGTAAGTAAGAGCAGGAATAGGCCAAGATCCATTTTGCTTTTTGACTTTACAGGACTCTGCACTGCTGGAAATTTCAGTTTCCTTTTCCTTGCCCGTTCCTTACCCTGCACAGGGACGCGACCTTCTCGTCAGCGTCTGCCATGGGGTGCTCGGTGAAGGTGATGTAGGGGATGTTGGTGGACCAGGGGTTCCACCTGTTGATGAAGGAGGCACGGCTTTGCTTGTCCCACTGAATGCGGATACCGACACCTTCCCGCCTGGAGTGGAGACCAGAATTAACAGGGTAAGACCTTCCAGTTGTTGAGGCACCTTTAACTAGAACGCTCTGCCTGACAAAGACATACTTGAACCTGGAAGCTGAAATGCAAGTGATAGTAAATTTTTCCTGAAGAGCAAGGAATTCCAAGAAATAGCATGAATTCAGCCCTTAAAGGAACCTTCCTATGAGATGAGAGCAAGAAGGTGAAACTCCTTGGACACCTGGGGTGTAGAACCTGACCTGCACAGCCTGTGACAGCCCATGTGTATGGGGACTCTGACAACACTGAGGTGCTGCTGCTGCTCCTTACTGCATTACATAATGGTGACCAACTTCTGCTCCCAAATCTCCTCAGCTTATCCTGAAAGTCCTTGAGCAACTCACTGTTACTGCAACTACTGACCGTACCAGCAATCCAGCAGCTACTCCTAATGAAGCTTCAGGAACTGTTTGCAGAGTTAAGTAAGTGAAAGGAAGAATTCTCAGACCTTTCCTGTGGTCAGCTCAAACCGTTCCCAATGACTGTGTGAGGCTTACAGTGATGTTACAGGGCAGCTTACTTGTTCAGAGATTTCGGTGGGAACTCGAACTCCCCCATGGAGATGGTGTCCACAGCGCTGAGGGCGATCCTCGTCACCTGCTGGCACTGCAGGCTGATGAAGTTGTACTTACAGACCAGGAGGGACCAGTCCGTGATGAGGACAAGGCGCTCCTTCTCATTGTTCCAGTGATCGATTCTGGTAAGAGAACGTGACCGAGCTTTAGCGGTGCTGAGGCCGCCCCGGCCCTGCCCTCGCTGCCGCCCCGTCCCCGCGGGCCTCACTCTGTGAGCAGCCACACGCTCTGCACCTCCCCGTCCTCGGCGGGCAGCACGACCACCCGGATCTCGCTCACGGCCTGCTCGATGGTGCCGGGCTGCGGGGGAAGGCACACACGGGTCAGGGGTGCGGCCAGGGGGTGCAGGCGGCCCGGCCCGGCCCGGCCCTTCCCCGGCGCGCACCCGGAACACGAAGTACTGGCGCAGGCGGCCGGCGCGGCCCGCGGTGCGAACACTGAGCGGCCGCAGCGTCTGCCGGGCCGGCGGAGCGGGCGGCTCGAAGGGCGGATCGGTCCGCCCCGGCACCAGCGTGGCGGCCCCGGGGCTGCCGGGGCTCCCAGAGCCGCCGCCCGGGCCGCCCTCGTCCGCGTCCCGCAGCTGCAGCATCGCGGCCCGGCCCGGCCCGGCCTCGGCGCTTTCCGGGGCGGGGCGAGCGCGGCCGCCGGTGCCGGTGCCGCTGCCGCGGGGCGGTGCGGGGGGCCGGGCAGGGGGGCCGGGCCAGGCCGGGAGGCGGTGCTGGGGGCCGGGACAGGCCGGGGGGCGGTACTGCAGCCCCGCCGCGCTCCCGCGCACCGAGAGGATGCGCGGGCGGTACCCGGGCAGAGCCCGGCGAGATGCGGGATGCGGGTGGCGGGATGCAGGATGTGGGTGGAGGGATGCGGGATGCGGGTGGAGGGATGCGGGATGCGGGTGGGGGGATGCAGGATGCGGGTGGGGGGATGCAGGATGCGGGTGGGGGGATGCAGGATGCAGGCAGCACTTCCCACCCCCTGCTCGCCGGGTAACGGGCGCGTCCCCATCGCACACCGGGGCGGTGCGAAGTGGCGGGTGCCGTCCCTGTCGCTCCCCCGGAGCTGGGTTAGGTACCAGGTGCCGTCACCGTCAGCACAGGAGCTGCATCAGGTACCGTCACCATCACACACCGAGACTGTATCGGGCACCGTCACCGTTCCACACCCGGGGCTGTACGAGGTGGTGGGTGCTGTCACTGTCCCTTGCCTGGAGCAATATTAGGTACGAGGTATCACCTCTCTCACACATCTGGGGCTGTATGATGTACCAGGTGTCATTCCTGCTGCACACCCAGAGCAGTACGGGGCCTGTCTTGGCTCTGCTGTGGATTTTCGGGGCTGAGGAAGACAAGCACACGCACACACCACAAAGAGTCCAGCGGGAAGCCCTGGGCTTAGCCAAAATGATGCTCTGCCCTGCCCAGGTGGTCTGGAGAAGGAATCTGACGTACCCACAAAGCAATGGGATTTGTGGACCTACAGTGGCCAGTCAGAGCTCCTGTGAAGCAAATCCGGGTCAGAGGTATGAGATCTTCAAACACCATCAGGTCAGAGCTCAGGAAGGTACTGGAGTGATGCAGGACTGGGGACAGGACTGTGATTTGAGAGCCCTGACGTCCTTGTCACATCCAGCATGCTTGATAGCAAAGATTAAATAGCGCTGGGAATGAAGGGCATGCTAATATTTTGGTTTCTGTGGGCTCTGGCGTGACTGCAGATATTATCATCACTATTTATGGAACTGTATCGACTCTTGGACCACTGTCAGCGCTGTTTTACCCAGAGCCAGGGGATGACATCCTTGGCGGGCGGCCGTGCTGGGAAATGATATAAAATTGAAAACACACTAAATTGACTTCACAGACAGGGTTGGGTTTCAGATATCTGACTCTCACATGTGTCCCATGAATTCCCTGCTGAGTTCTCTGCAGCCCTTGCTCACATGGGCCTGTTTAGGTGGGAAACCTCTCTGCTGTCTTTAAAAGAACTGCAGAGCTGACTTTATGCTCAGTCACCCCTCGTGCTGTGCTCAAAGCGCAGCTTTTCCCAGTGGAGCTTCCCCTTCTCCCCACAGGCAGCCTGCTGGGGTGGCTGTGGCTGGGAGGGTCACCATGCCAGGCCAGCCAGGACCCTGCAGCGAGTTGTGTCCTGTCCGTGAGGCAGCCAGGCTTGTCACCTGAGACAGTGTGGGAGCTGTGGCTGGACTGAGCAATCCCCATTCCTGGCCCTGGGCCGTGTCCTGGAGAGGGAGCTCGACTCCCAGCTCTGCCCAGTCCTTGCCCACAGGGAGGGATCCCTGGAAGTCTAACTGGGAGCAGCAGCCTCTTTCCTACTGTTGGAAAAGTCCGACCTTTTTAAATGCTGGACAGGAAAACAGAGGCTTGGATTTATTATATCCTGGAGCTCTCTCTGTCGTTATAAAACATCTTTATGTGCTGCCTTTCTTCCTGAGGAAGAATGAAGGATGTTTTCTTCCCATCCGTTAGGCTTGGCAGATATTTTACTGTGAAGTGGCAGCATCACCTGCTCTTTTCTTTGACCTGTGGGATTTATGGCACTGCTGTGACCTTGGGAGGGTTCTGGTGTAATGAGCAGCTGCCTCAGTTTCTTCCAAGAGCCACCAGATTATGGTCATGGCCCTTGGGGACTTTAGTCTTGATTAATGGTTGTCCTTCAGCAGCAAAATATGTCCATGAAACTATCCAAACCTTCTTACCCTGCTTCTCTGCTGGAAATCAGCACCTGTCAGGGGCCGGGTGTGCCCTGGAGTGCCCCGGGGCAGTGCCTGGCTTCTGCTCTGGTTCCTCCTCGCCCTTGGGGAGGGTTTCCCGGCAGGTTCTTGAGGCTTGAGAGTTCAGTGCAGCATCCCTGCTCTGCTCTCCTCCCCATCCCGCTGTGCCAACTGCCGCGTGCAGCTGGAGCTGTCCCTGTCAGCAGAATTTCCCTGGGAAGTGATCAATTTAGTTATCTGTTGGAGTGCTTAGGAAAGATTGAATCTCTCTCTGGGTGTTTTTTAGAGCTGCTAGGAAAGGGATTTTGGGTGGTGTGTCCGGAGCTGGCCTTGGGAAGTGCACAGGAGCTGCCTGAGGAGGAACAGACCCGAACCATCACCACTCCATCCCCGTGTGCAGGGCCGCCCCCTCCCCTGCTCGGGGCTGGGCACAGCTGGTGGGAGGGATTTCTGACTGACAGCGAGGAAAGAGGCAGGAGAGCATGTGAGGGAAAGGAGCTGGACCTGGAAAGGCAGGGGGAAGTTTTGTGACTCCTGTGAACTGCAGGGAAGCTGCTCCGGTGCGCGTGTTCGTGCTCGCCCCCGGCTCCGGAGGAAGGTGGGAGCTGCGGCAGGAGGATGCCTGAGCCTCTGCGGATGGAGTGAAGGAGCACCCTGTGTGCTTTGGGGAAAGCCCCTGGGAAGTGGGATTCTCCTGCCAGGAGAGCTCCCGTCCTTCTTCATTCCTCTTGCCAAGTGCTGGTTTTCAGAGTGCCTTGGGAAGGGGATCTCAGCTCCGGAGCAGCTCAGCCCACATGGGGCTGTGCTGCTGGACACAACCCAGGTCTTGTGAGCCCCCAGATCTCTGGGCTTTGTCAGGAAGCAAATCGCAGAAGGAAAAGTCACTTCAGTGCATTTCACTGCGAGCAAATGAGCATGAGAAGCTAGGCTTGGTCTGGGGGAAAAAGCCAGCGGCAACCTGCACTGTGATCATTTCCCGTGGAGCGAAGAAACTCGCTGAGTGAACCCAAGAGGGAGGAAGCATCCAGGGATGATAAATCCGCTTTCCCGCCGCGAGAACTCCCCTGTGCTCCGATAGCTTTGTCCCCTCCAAGGAGAGACACCGGCAAGCTGGGAGCAGGAGGCAGCCGGATCATCTGCCTGCGAGGAGGAGGAACTGGCGGAGCTGTGCTGGGGGAGCTGCGGGATTCCCTGGGCACCCGCGGGCAGCACCTGGAGGGAGAGGAGCAGTGGCGATGGAGTTTCCTGCGGTGGCACTGTCATTCATCCTGGCGCTGCGAATATCTCCGCTGGCTTCTGGGAGCAAACTGCAGCCCCACATGTGAGTAGGAAGGAGTGAGTTCCGGAGGGGTTTTGTCGGGCAGGGAATGGAAAAGCAGAAGCCAAATACAGTGTTTTCAAATCAAGGAAGAAGTGAGGAGCAGAGAGTGAAGGGGACCGGGGGCTGTTGTGGGTTTCTTTATTTACTACCAGATGTGCAAAAAGGGGAATAGAAAATCGAAAACCTTGATAATCTTTGCTTGTAAACTCCGGGTTTAACTGAAATGCTGCTATTGTGAGAGTGAAAGAGGTGATTCTTCTCTGAATAGTTTGCCCTTTCTTCCCAGAGGGGCTGTTTTTATGGCACTTCACGGATCTTTCTTATTCCTCCCTGCCCGCTGCTGTTACTCCAGCAGCACGTAGGCTGCTCTTTTTAATTACATTTTACAGTTACAGTTTGGTGTTAATCATTTGGCTGCTTTGGAAAACTTCCTTGCAAATTTGGCCTCCTGCCAGAAGATGGTCTCTCGGAGCCAGAGGATCGCTCTAATTCCCTTTGTGCATGGGGACGGTGTGCTGCGGGGCACTGACTCCAACCCACCCTCCCGAGGGGTTTAATTCTTCAGTAAAAGGGGTCCTTTAGCTGATAAAGGTTTTACAAGAAGCTGCTTTTTCTCCCTGCATCAGGGGTTTTGTGTTCCTGCCCTGACAGTTACTTTCAGGACTTCTTGGACGAGGCCCTGGAGCTGAGCCCTGTGCCAGCGTGCCACAGTTGGAGTGGAGCAGTCGGATGCCAGCTGTGGTCTCTGAGCTTCACCACGTCCAAATTATTTCGTTTCACTTCTTTTATAGAAAGTATCTTTGTGAAAACTCTGGGTCCCTTTGGAGGAACTGGAAGTGGCAGAAGCAGCCCCAAATACTGTGTGGCTCGTGGCTTACAGAATCAGGAATAAATGTCTCCCTCTTTATTCTTAGTTAAAACCACTGACTCGTGCTGGCAGAAAGAGTTAGGATTAGAGAAGAAACAAAGTGCAAAGTGGTATTTTCCTTATTTTCTTACTGCATCGCATGTATTCCTTTTATTTACTGGAATTAGTCTTAGTTCTGAATGAGTGAGAAACCGTCACTGTGGCTGGTTGACCTGGCACGATTTCTTTTCCCTGCAGCGATTTAACTAATTGAGGAGGCAGATGCTGGGGGTTGCCCAAGCCCTTCCTGCCCTGTCAGCAGGAAATGCAGTTGCCCCCGGCAGGAGCCCGTTGGGGCGTGGGAGCACTGCACCCCTGTACCCCTCTGTGCACCCCCAAACCCTCCCAGCCCCCCTGTACCCCCTGTTTCTGTGCCCCAGGCCCAACGTGTGCGCGGAGCAGGAGCTGGCGGTGGTGGGGCAGCAGCAGCCGTGTGTCCAGGCGCTGACCCGCGCCGTCAGGGTGTGGAAGCAGGACTGCGGGGGCCGGCGCTGGTGCTCGGGCTACGAGCGCAGGTAGGTGCTCTTCCTTCTGCTTGGGGGGCTCCCTGAGGGAGGAAAGGTGGCTCCTGCCCCCCAGCAGCAGCGGGGAAGGGAGCTTGATGCCTGCTGGGTGTCTGACCCTACCTGGCACCTCTGGGACACAGAGCTTTTAAGCTGTTCAGGAATTCC